TATGAGGCCATTTATGTAAGCAACTTACATTGTCAGTTCCACATTCTTCCTTCCTCATTGAGTTTATTTGTTTGACTGAATTAATTAAATCACAAATTTAAAAAAGAAACTTCAAGAATAGCACTTAAATGATTTCTTCTAATTTAAAATGTATTCTTGAGAACTTTTTTTTTTACATTTTGAAACACACCATAATTCTAGAGGTAACCTGATAAGATATTTAATTAATGGCAGCTGTGTCTTCATTCCGACTTGGGATTTTTCTCTTTTCCCATACTTGCCCATATAATTTATTGATAAACTGAGTAAACAATTTATCCAGATACTACTGAATGTATTTAATTAATTAATGCATTTCTCTAGGTTTAAAGACTATTCACTAAAGAGGATGTCTACTGTAATTGTGGGAGGATTTCAGTTTCTAGGACCTTATTAAAGAAAATGTTTTGAAAGAATATGTTAAACATAAACAGTGATTATACTTCTCTTTCAATGAGACAACTGTCATATCCTAATGGCCTCTTAAGATCTTTAGTAAACTCTGATCCAAGGCAAATATATTTCCATTTCATAAATATGCAAAACTTTTAGTTTTTAGTAAAACTAAAAGATGAGAAACAGAAAAAACAAAACAAAACATGGATCTAAGATGTTGGAACGTAGTGTGTGATTTAATTTGGTGGAATTATGTATACATTATGAACGTAATGCATTTTAAAACTGTCTCCAAAGTTACAAATAAGAAGCAAGAGAATGGCATGGCAGAACAACCAGACAACAGGGGGTGATTTTGTCTTCTTGCACCAGTTTCACAGCACACGGGCTGCCTGGATTCCCTTCTCCCTCACCATACTAGCACTCCTGTTGGTCCCGTTGACAACATCACAACATCCTCATTTGGACTGACCCACTCGTCCACCGCCCCATGTATTTTCTGCTCAGCCCATTGTCCCTCATGGACCCCTGTATATGTCCACATTTGTCCCCAAAATGACCCTTGACTTTCTCTCTGGGGACCATCATATTTCCCTCCGCCATTGGGTGTGGCATTCAGCTATTCCTCTTCACCACCTTGGTGGCAGTGGAGGGCCTGCTGCTGGCCGTCATGGCTTACAACTGCTTTGTGGCCATCTGTTACCCACTGTGCTATTCCATCCTCACCTTTGTGCTACTCCGTCCTCAAGTATCTGACCATCTGTGTCCTCATGCTGCTTGCATCTTGGCTGAGAGCACTGCTCATTGCCTTGACCCATGTAGTCTATACTGTGCCTCCCCCTTTCTGTGTTGCCAGAGAAATCCATCACTTTTTTGTGAGATCACAACCCTACTGAAACTAGTCTGTGCTCACACTGCCTGGTATGAAAAAGGTCTTTTTGTCAGTGGTGTTATTTTTCTCCTCCCACCCATCTCAGCTATTATGGCCTCCCATGGAAGCATATTATCCATTGTACTGTTGATAGACTCAAGGCTGGGGCTCAGGAGAACCTAGGCTACTTGCTCTTCTCACATGACCATGGTGTCTTTATTCTATGGGGCCATGATTATCAGGTACTTTCTGCCAAAGTCCTACCACTCCCCTGAGCAGGACAGCGTGGTCTGCGTCTTCTACATCATCCTAACTCCAGTGTTCAACCCTCTCTTTTACAGTTTAAGAAACAAATACATTATTCGAGCCTTCCGGAGAGTCCTTGCAAAAAGAAGAATATGACATTTTCTGTTTTCAATGAAAATACAAAACAATGAAAGCATATGCATTGAAATGGAGGGATTTATGAATGTGCATTTAACTCTAAGAGCCAAATATTTTGAGAAACAGACAGTAGACCAAAAAAAAAATCCTGTCACCAAAGTTGATATGCAAATCGGTCATTTTCTTATTTATATCTTCATATTCAAAGATAAAATAAATGAAGTCTGGTCAATTCATATGCTATACCAAATGGACTTTTCTTATTTCTATTTAATCATATTATTTGTTCATTTTTACTTATTTTTATCTTTTGAAATTTATTTGTATTTGACAAATAATTCTGTCTATTTATAGAGTACAATATGACTTTTATCTATGTATACATTGCAGAAAGTTTAATAAAGCTAATTAACATATCGATCACCTTACCAACTTTTTTTTTGTGGTGAAAATGTTAAAAAAACTATCTTTTTATTTTTGAGACAGGGTCTCATTCCATCACCTAGGCTGGAATGCAGTGGTGCAATCATGGCTCACTGCAGCCTCGACCTCCTGGGTTCAAGAGATCCTGCTGCCTCCAACTCCCAAGTAGCTAGTACTACTACAGGAGCACACCACCACACCCAGCTAATTTTTGTATTTTTGTAGAGACAAGGTTTCCCTATTTGCCCAGGTTGGTCTTAAACTCCTGGGTTCAAGAAATTCTCTTGTTTCAGTCTCTCAATGTGCTAGGATTACAGGCATGAGCCACTGCTCCTGACCTAAAAATCTGTTCTTTTAGCAGGTTTGCAATATACATTCATTGTTAACAGTGGTCACCATGCAGTGCAACAGGACACCGAAACTTTCCCCCCACAGGACTCCAAAAGCATGAGCAACAAAAGTGAAAATGGAAAAGTGAGATTGCCTCAAACTAAAAATGCTTCTGCACAGCAAAGGAAACAACAGAGTAAAGAGAAAACCATAGATTGGGAGAAAATGGTTGTAAATGATTAATATTATAAGGGGCTAATACCCGAAATACATAAGGAACTCAAAAAATTCAATAAAAACAACATTAGATCAATAGAGAAATGCAAATCAGTATCACGATGAGATACCATCTCACATCAGTCAGAATGGCTATTATTAAAACAACAGATGCTGGCAAGATTGTGGAGAAAAAAGAACAGTTTTACACTGATGGTAGGAGTATAAATTAGTTCAGCCATTGTGGAAAACAGTGTGGCGATTCCTCAAAGACCTAGAGGCAGAAATATCAGTTAACCCAGCAACCCCATTACGGGATATATACCCAAAGGAATATAAATCATTTTATCATAAAGATATATGCACGCATATGTTCATTGCAGCACTATTCACAATAGTAAACACATGGAATCCAGCAAAATGCCCATCAGTGATAGACCCGATAAAGAAAATGTGGTACATATACACCATGGTTACTATACAGCCATAAAAAGGAATGAGATCATGTCCTTTGCAGGGACATGGATGGAGCTGGAAGCCATTATCCTCAGCAAACTAACACAGGAATAGAAAACCAAACACTGCATGTTCTTATTTATAAGTGGGAGCTGAATGATGAGAAGACAAGGACACAGGGAGGGGAATAACAAGCACTGGGGCCTGTCAGAGGGTCAAGAGTGGCAAGAGGGAGGGGATGAGGAAGAAGAGCTAATGGATGCTGGGATTAATACCTTGGTGACTTCGTGGAATTGTTTTTAATAATTATAATAGGATTCTCAAAAACAATATATAAAAGGCTATTTGAGATTCACGTTCAAATAGGCAGGTAATTACAGGAAGTCAGTGAAGTGAGAGAAGGGAGGAAAATACCAAAAACAGAAATCAAAAGCTGGTAGTTCTGAATACATTATTATATTTAAAAATAATAGAAATATTGATAATATTGAAGAACATTAATAGTATCAATAAATATATTAATTTTGTATTAAGGAATGACTAAATGATCTGCACTGTGTCTAAGAGTTTATTTGCATGATTTTACTTCAGTTGCCCCGTAAAATTGCTGTTATATTTGTCTCCCATTTATAGATGAGGAATCTTGTCTCAATAAAGTTATGTAACTGCCCAAAATGAAACCATGATAAGAATAAAAATCTAGGTTTCAAACCAAGGGCATTAATTTCCAGGTTGAAATAGTTAATGAATCTGAAAATATTCTCAGAATATTTTCTGAGAATAAAGGCAGAGGGAAAGCAGTCCTGTAATCCTATCAAAGGCACTTGGCAAAAGTGCCTGGGTGGGCCTGGGTGTGCACCTCGTGTGTGTGTGTGTGTGTGTGTGTGCGCGCGCGCGCGCACGTGCGCATGCACAAAGGGTATTATGGTGCAGGAGGAAAAGAGTCACATCAATAGATACTCTTGTCTGGTTTTGGCCCTACTCTCTTTACCACCATCTGTCCTGATATTCCCTCCAGATACTGTAAGCTTTGACTCTTCCCTTCCTCAATATTAGAAGAGAAAACAGTGATTTCTCTCCTGTTAATACATTATTAAATATTAATAAATATTAGTCACTGGATTTTTATAAAGAAACTTTCATTAATAAAGCATAAAAACCACAACAGAAAAACAGAAACAGAAAAAATGAGAATATATTTAGATGTTATTTAACTGGGTCTAAAATGTAAACTTTCATATTAATCTATTTTTGTGTAGTGATCACAATTCTGAAGATTACTCTGGATTTGTTTTGCCGGCAATATAGCACTGTGGTTCCTGACTTTCCTAGGACTCTAAAGAAGAGGGAGTGTACCTGTCCATACACAGGTGAATTGTTTTCTCAAAAAATACTTCAGAAATCTGAAGTTATTAAGTAGTCTGTGATACATTTTTTGTTAGCTTTTCCCTTCCTCTACCCTCTCCCCAATACATGATAGGTTGTTAAGGCTGAATTCTCATAATATCTACAAAACTTAGCTCCCATAATGGTTCATATCATGCAGGATCTTTCTATAACCCTGTTGCCACAATACTGGCTCCCAATATTTGACATAAGTAGTCTCTTTTTCTTTAGCTTTGTTACCTACGGCGTTTTGTAGGGTGCCTTGGATTCTGTCTGGATTATTCTTAAAAACTTGAACTCTTTGTAGAATCCATATGATGTGCACTACCTAAACACTATAATCAGTCCAGCCATCCACACTTACTCATACATTTCTTCCCTTACACCAAGTTGACTGTGATGTTACACCATTTACTATTCCTGAGGAAGTGGATTGTCATAACGCTAGCATTGCTTCAACAATGAAAAAAAAAAAAAAAAAAAACACTGAAAAATGTATTAGCGAGTAAACATAATTTTTACTAAAAAGAATTTTTTTACACTGTTCCGAATTATTAAATCTAAAAGAGTCATTAATTTGGGAGGAATCTGAGAATCAGGCAATATGAGTTCATGTCAGGATTTGTCTATTGACCAGTGAGTTGTTCATGGAGTTCTTAACCACCATAAACTTTGGTCTCGGTCTGTATAATGAGGATAACACAATGGTACTTGCTTAAACCATTGAATAACGTTTTTGTGTGTTTATGTTAATTAGAAAAATATGCTTTCTGAGTTTGCGTAGCACTTGGTTACTGAAAAGTGTTTAGGATGTGATGTTGTTACCCTCCTAGTGAACATCTAAAAGCATAACTAGGGAGCACTCTTTGTTACATAATGCAATAGCATACCATCAATCACTGAAATCCTGGTTTTCATAATTCTTAGTACTAAATTAAAATGTGTTATTGAAGTAATTATATTTTAAATGTTATTGAAGTACATAGATGGATAAAATAAAATGAAATCATGATAGGAAAACAAATCCAAAGGAAACACATGTTCAGAAAGGTACACATGGTCTAAGTGAAGAAATTAAAGATTCTTCAGTTGAGTATTATTCACCTGGGGAAAGCCATTCCTGCAATTCAGGGATGACCAGGTGGTATCGGTTGGGCCTCAGTGTTGCTAGGAGTTGGCCTTGGTGTTCTTCTGTTAAACATATACCATTGCACAAAACATTAAACACATAGAGAGAAAAATGGCCCACCAAAGAGGTCCACATGTCCTAACCTCTAGCAACTGTGAATATGTCAGCTTCTATGGCAAAGGGAAACTAAGGTGGCAGACAGAATTAAGGTTGCTGATCAGCAGAGATTTCTGTCAGCTTTTATTTTATTTACTCTCACAAGACCAGTCCCTGTAACAGTGTCACATACAAAATTAAGGCATTGAAACACCTGAGTGCATGAATGAATGAATGTATTCTGCATTTTTCTCTCTATTAACTTTGGTTGTTATATAGATTATCTTGATGTTAAATGTTTGGGTAGATTTTATTTTCATGGTTCACATTTCAGATATTCAAGAGGGCAAGTCAAAATATTAAAATGCCAGGGTAACACTGGGTTGAGAAGGCTGAATTCTACTGCTTTAGAAGTTAAACAAGTGTGATAAACATTGTTTTTGCGACTTCTATACAGAAAACATTTATTTACATCTTTCCAGATCGTTTTCAGGAATAGCTTTTAATGTTGTTAATGCTCAATCAATACAAGACTCTGAAGTCATATTTTCTATGGCATATCCATTATCCCAACAGTCTTCTCATTGCCCCTGTGACTTCCTTATTTCGCAGGCTATAGATAAATGGGTTCAGTAGCGGTGTGATGATGGTGTAAAATACTGCCACCACCTTGTCCCGTGTAGGGGAACGCAAGGAGTGTGGCTTCGTGTAGGTAGCAAGAGTGGTTGCATAGAACAGGCTTGCCACAATCAGGTGGGAGGAACAAGTGGAAACAGCTTTTGCCTGTCCTTTTCCCGAGCTCATCTGGAATACCACAATAAGCACACGAGCATAGGAAGCCAGAATGGCCAGGAATGGTAGCAGCAGGATAATAAGTCCACTCAGGAGGACTGTATACTCATAATGGGAGGTGTCCTGACACACCAATGACAGTAGAGCTGGAACTTCACAGAAAAAGTGGTTAATGAGCCGAGACCTACAGAATGGAAGTTGAAACACATACATTGTATGTATGAAAGCGTTGATAGAACCACTGGCCCATGCACATGCAACCATGAGACAGCAGATCTTCTTGCTCATAAGTATAGAATAATGTAAAGGATGACAGATAGCTACATAGCGATCATAAGACATAAAACCAAGGAGAAGGGCTTCAGTTCCACCAAGGGCCAAGAACACATACGCTTGAATCTCACAGCCCATAAATGTAATGGTCTTACTCTGTGAGAGGAAGTTGACCGCCATCTTGGGCACAGTGGTGGAGATGTACATGAGGTCAATGATGGAGAGTTGACTGAGCAGAAAGTACATTGGAGTGTGGAGTCTGGTGTCCAACCGAATGAGGTGAATCAGCATGATATTTCCTGTCAGAGCAACTGTAAAGAGGGTGGCAATGATGACAAAGAGCAGAGAGTTTGTCCAGTCGTATTGGAAAAGACCAACAAGTAGAAAATCTGTCCCAAAACTTTGATTTTCTGCTTTCATGGCTGAAACCAAAATATCAAAGCAGATGACATCTGAAACGTTCATGTAATAATGTTGACTGCCCTTTAAGAGAAAGCAAAATGACAATACTAAATACAATAGAATTATCTGGACTGTCTTTAGGATGAATTTATATCTCTCCTATTCATCATATGGAATGTATCCATAGAAAAATTCCCATTTTACAAATGATGATATGAAAATAAGTGTGTTTACTGACTGCAGAATAAAATATAAAATGAAAATAAAATAGAGTATTTAGATTATTTGTCTGAACAAGTTATGTTTTACTTTGTAAATATATTCAAGATGATAGACAAGCTGTGTTTACCTGTTAAAAATCACTCACTGATTCAATTTTCTCATATATGTGACATGACAGAATTAGTCAAATATATAATTTCAAGGATTCTTTACTTCATTTCTCTTTTGATTACATTGGTTATAAATAAGAATATATAAATATAAATACTATATAAAAGTAGTAACATTTATATAGTAAATGTTATTTTACTTGTTCAGACAAATAATCTAAATGTAGTAACATTTGTATAGTAAATGTTATTTTACTTGTTCAGACAAATAATCTAAATGTAGTAACATTTATATAGTAAATGTTATTTTACTGTATAAATGCTATTATATGGTCTAAGTGAAGAAATTAAAGATTCACCTGGGTTGAATTACAGTGCTATTACAGATCTTATGATTTAATTAGTATTTATTTATTTCTGTGAATGTAGACACAATTTTATAAACTTTGGGGAAAAGGTAAACCAAATATTAGGAAGAGCGTGAGAATGAATCATTGAAATATAAAAATATGTATTATTCTTTGACTCAAGTAGCATGTAACGAATGGTTAATGAGCACAATACAGTGATAATCTCTGGAACTCATAATACATTTAGACTAAAAAGCTTGGTTGTGTTTGAAAAATTAAAAATAATACAAATAGTTGCTGAAAGTATTACACAGAAGCTGACTTTATATAGTTATACAAAACTAGTAATATTCAATTATCTTTCTTTTGTACTAGTCTAAAATATTGTCGCATTACTAATTACAATTACTCAATGATATTTAAACAATATTTTAATATTATTATACAAAAAGGCTTGTATTTCTAAAAATGTATACAATAAAAAATATGAAAAGTCACCAAATTTACATAAAAAATATGATCAGATGGTAATTCTTGGTAAAACAATTCATAAAAATTTAACCTAAATTTTAACATTATATATTTCAGATCATGAAATAATTATTTTAATAAAATCTAGAAAGAAGAGATCTAACTCAAAACAAGAGTGAAAATTATTTACAAAAATCTAATAGGGAGGAAATAAAACAATAAGATTTTATAGAGGTAAATGAAGAAAATATTGGTTATAATTGAGTATGATAGAGAAACATGAAAGAATATTATAGCTACAATAAAATTTATATAATAAAATAAATTACTATATAAAATATAGTAACATATCTCATATAATGTATATTATCAATCATTTGTACAGGATAAGAAAATTGAATAACAAATAAAAATAAGAAAATGAGCAACAGTTTTGGAACTATTGGAATGATCATTTCATCATATGATGACTATTTTTCAAATTTATTACTGCTTACTTCTCCAAAAATTACATGTAGAAAATAATTGATTTTAACTGGAACACACAGAAAATTCTTAGGGCAATAAAGTGAATTATTTACTGTCTTATATATAAAGGCTCTACCACATGGGGAAAAAAGACCTGACTGCATAACCTGCAAATAGATATAAATAGGTGATGCATAAAAAAGAAAACAGAAGGTTTAAAACAGGGTAATTATCTATCTAAGCCTAAATCAATGTCATGTGAATAAAACAACCTTATTATTTTTTAAAAGGTCAAGAATGTAGTCCAATGTACAATAATATATTTTTGGTGACACACGGTTGAATTTTTTAAGATTTTTTTCTACCATAAACTTATCATTTCCATACATTTTGGACTAACAGTTTTATTACTGGAATTTTACTACAGTAATATATGAAATAATCTTTGGTACAAACATATATTACATGTTGAAGATGATACCGTTTCTAAAAACAATTTAGAATTATGAATGCATGATAAATTTTTTAAATGATTAATCTGATGACATGTCACATATTCAAAAAGTAGTTATGAAAACTGGATAAACAGAAATTTTACACACAAATACAAACACATAAACACAAAAATAAACAGTTACAGTATCTATTGATCATAATTCACTCAAAGATGCTTCATGATTGGAAATACCAAAAAAAAATTCCAAAACAGAAACACACTGGGGTTTGGATGTTGCAAATCTTACTTTGCTATGAAGCAGGTCACGGGTTTCACTAAACTTCTGGAATAAATACTGGCCTCCATTCCATCTCCCTCAGCCAAGCAAAAGACTACACAGCATGCTACTCTTAATCTCTTCCTAAACTGAGTTGTAAGTAAAATTCTATGTTGCCTGCAGCACCTTTCTGACAGTAGGCCTCAATGAGTCAGGCTTAATTGGATTCTTTACACAAGTCAACTTGCTAAGAGTGTGTAGTTGAGAGGTATTAAATCAGAAATATTAATCGCACTCAACTACGCACCAATTCTTGCATACATTAAAGACACTTTAAAAATCTGTCAGATTTAAAAATACATATTTGTTATTCTCTTCATTTAATTTTAATTAAACAGAATCCTTAAGCTGCTTGTTAAGTATATTGGAAGATTTTCTAATCAAATTTTCTCCCACCTCTAATTACAAAACATAATCCTCTGGTAAGCATCACCAACATTAAATGCTACAAGATTCTCTTTGTAATGCTGAAGACCAAGGCTATAGCAAATATAATGTTGTATAAATGTAAATATTTCACCTGATAGGTGAGAGAAAGGTGCTAAGATGAGCACAGAAGCACCTAAAACACATCTAGAGTTTCCTTAGTCCTGAGAAATAATTTCCCCACCTCCCAAGCTCCTCGCCCAATATCAAATACTACTTTCTTTTTTTTTTTTCTTTAAGACAGTGTCCCACTCTGTCGCCCAGGCAGGGGTGCAATGGAGTGATCTTGGCTCACTGCAACCTCTACCTCTCCATTCAAGCGATTTTCCTACTTCAGGCTCCCAAGCAGCTGGAGTTTCAGGCACCACACTTGACTAATTTTTGTATTTTTAGCAGACATGGGTTTCACCACGTTAGCCAAGCTGGTCTTGAACTCCTGACCTCAAGCAACCACCCGCTTTGGCCCCCGATAGTGCTGGAATTACAGGCCTGAGCCAACATGCCCTTTCTTTATTTAGATGAAATCCCAAATAAAAATTTCAATTGAAATTAATGTAAAAGAAATCTGTTAAGTATGACATAATTTATGATACTATATTCACCAATATATTCAACAAATTGCAATTTCCAACCTCAAAGGCATATAATTATAATGCAGCCTACTCCATTAGGTAATAGCTTGGACCTTCAGTGTGAGTTAAGCAACTTAAAATAACATCCATTGAAAGTGTGTTCTAAACCAATCCCGGTCCTTCAGCAGGTAGAGAGGAGGCAATGTTGTCATTTCTGCTGATCATGATGGATTTGAGAACTAGTTTACTATTATTAGAGCCATAAACTGAAAGTCACACATTTTCTCCCAAATAATTTTTGAAATATGCAATTTAATTCATTGTTGGTTTCATCATAATGTAGCCTCTTGTCATTCTTATCATCATCTACATATATTTTGGCATCATTGACCTCCACATTTACCTTGAAGTTTGAATTCTGCTTTTATAAAAACTCTGTCTATAGAACAATTGAAAGATGTTAGGTAACTCATTACAGGAGATGAGAACTAGGGAAATTTGCAGAAATAGAAGCCATGGACATGCAAATACGTCATCTCCTTAATACTAACAGGCAATAACAACATAAATTTCTAAGTGTCAATAATAAGCATGTATGCTAGGGGCATACAACTTATGAAGTTTTTTTTTTTATAGAACTGAATAAAAATTTCACCACACATTATGTTTTTGAAATATTTTACCTAATTTTAAACTTTCATCATTCCAAAAATATTGTTTAATATAATTGCATACTGAACATAATGTTAAAATTGGAGGCTTAAGTAAGGAAGAGATGTTTCCTACCTCAATTAAGACCACAGAGATCCTTCCAGTTGTGTTCTCTCAGGTGGGGGATGCGCCAAACTCACCCACACTTGCCCACATCTCTGCACCAACATGCCCCAGCCCCTTCATCCTGGTAAGACGGAGATTGTTTAAATTCAATATCAGACCAAATATGTCTCAAGTACATACCTTGAGATTCTTTTTGCAGACATTAACTAAGTAATATCTGGATAATCTATGCAGCCAATAATATAATTAATTCTATATAATTATTTAAATAAAATACATACCTTTAAATATATCTCTGAAACTAGTTTCAGAATATATTTCCCTGACATAAGTTACAGTAAATTTGTCAAGGGACTACAAATTCTTCTGATTTACCTCAGTAATTAGTTGGCTAACCAGCGATTTGATAGCTAGGTGACTGCCACCATGAGTAAGCCTTATTGCCTCCACCAAGCCACGTCTTTGAAACTGACAAAGGCTGGCCTTGAAAGCATTTTTTTCCTCTAGGTAAAAGACATATAGATCAGGCGCAGTGGCTCACACCTGTAATCCCAGCACTTTGGGAGGCTGAGGTGGGTGGATCAGGAGGTCAGAAGTTCGAGGCCAGCCTGGCCAATATGGTGAAACCCCGTCTTTACTAAAAATACAAAAATTAGCCACGCATGGTGGCACACACCTGTAATCCCAGCTACTCAGGAGACTGAAGCAGAAGAATTGCTTGAACCTAGGAGGCAGATGTTGCAGTGAGCCAAAATCATACCACTGCACTCCAGCCTGGGAGACAGAGTGAGACTCTGCCAAAAGAAAAACATATATAGAGAGAGATTGTCTTTTATTTTGTAATTAATTTTAAAATGATTTCAATTTTAGTTTATGTAGCCTCTTTCATAGAGATGAATCTCATTCTTCTAGGATTTTTTCCCAGAAAGAAATATATATATATTTTTTTAAGTAACAGGAGATGTATCTGAATAGATCTGCAAAATTAACTATAAAAAGCGTTCTCTGCCACCACAGTTGGAGGTAGTAGTTAGAAAATCAGAGCATCAGAGCAATTCCTTTTTTTATTTACTTTTAAATAAAATTATATTATTTATCAATTATATATATCAAAAAGAAACAGAAGCAGAATGACATATATTCTAAATAATCAGGCTATTTAATGTGACAGTTCTGAAAAAGAAGTCCTATACTTTTAAAATTTCTAATCTGAAAAACATTTTAGAAATT